GTTTTGAGGCTTAGGGCTTTGGGTTTAGGGGTTTAGGGTTTAGGGGTTTAGGGGTCTAGGGTTTAAGGTTTAGGGTTTAGGGTTTAGGGGTTTAGGGGTTTAGGGATTTAGAGGTTTAGGGTTTAGGAGTTTAGGGGCTTGTGGTTTAGGGGTTTAGGGGCTGGTGGTTTAGGGTTTAGGGGTTTAGGGGTTTAGGGTTTAGGGGTTTAGGGGTTAGGGTTTAGGGCTGTAGGGGCTATAGGGTTTAGGGGTTTAGGGGGTTTGGGGGGTTTAGGGTTTAGGGTTTGCTGAGTTCGAAACCTTGAGCTGTAGCGAGCTCCAACCCTAAACCTTTACATAGGCCCTGTAAACCCTGAACCCCTGTGATTGTAACCCTATGAACTCCGCACGTCCTAAGCTCAAGCCCCCTTTCTCGGATTTGCGGGGTAGGGCCTAGTAAGTTTCGAACTTTCGGGTGTTGCTTGTGCTCTCGTTGAAGGGCCGAGCCCCCTGAGAAGTTGACACTTTCTACGCAGACCAAATATGAAAGCCTATTCAAGGACTATTGTGTAGCTTATGTAGCTAATGCACATATACTCAACAATTCTCAAGTTCTCGCCTTAGAGAAAAGGTTGATCTATTTCATGTTTGCAGACATTGCCCTGCCTGCTGCATACAGCACTGATATTCCTGCTGTGACCTGCCTGGCAAGACAATCTCCAACTTGCCCATACAGACCAAAACAATGCAGTTTCTGAAAGATGGCCATTGAATAGGAAACTATCAACCAACAACACCGTTAAACGGTTTAAAAACAGTTTCAACCCGCGTTACCGTTTAGGGCTTATAAGGCCGGCGTTTAGGCTTTGGGGGGCCCAGTTTTCCCTTATAACTCATGTTCAGGCCTTATTAATCAGAGCAGGGTTCTAGGGTACATTATTTTAAAGACGATAAGAAACCCTAAGGGTCCATGTAGCCAAATAGATATACTTTGGCCCCAAAGTACCCAAATGGGGACTACTTTAAGGCCAAAGTATATCTATTTGGCTACATGGACCCTTAGGGAAAGAGCCCCAGAATAGTCTTGACAATTCTTCAGGCCCCTATTTTGAATATTGCCCAATCAGCAGGGTTGGATCCCAAAAACTACACTCTAAATGCATTTTCGGTGTCTTGGACCCTAGACCCTAAACCCTACTACTGGTGGGCAGTTGGCCCCGCTGGGTTGCTCAGCAAGACGGGCCTTCTGCAGGGAAACGTAGGTGTAGTGAATGCTGCGGTCCTCCACAACCTGCGACAGAAAAATCCCTGCCGGTTGTGAACCCTAAGGGTCCATGTGCCCAACTACGGTTGATGATATAATTCCTGCATTCCCCATAATCAAGAATATACCATAATTCCCATAGTTTAGGGTCCTCAGGGTAATGCAGGATTTATATCACCAACAGTAGTAGTAATAATTCGGCCTTGAAGTAGGCCCTGTGTAGGTACTTTGCGGCCTGAGTAATATACTGGCTGCAAACTGTTTGGGTGCAGGGACCTTTGGGCGAACTTTTGCGGCTTCGGCCCGAAGGTACGCCCTAACACTGAAGTCGTAAAGGTTCATGTCAGGCTCCGAGACTGATAAACCGCACTCCCTTGACGGAGGACCAAAACAGGAACCCCAAACCCTAAACCCTAAACCCTAAACCCTAACCCAATTACCCCAAAAGAACTCACTTTTTCAGACTTTTGGACCCAGAGACACTTTTATGTAAGGCTTTTGGGCTATTTTGATGCTAACGGTACTTGGAGGTTCATGGGTAGTTAGAAGCAGGGTTATAAGTCCCCTAATATGGATAGTTACCCTACCTATAACCCCACTTATAACTACCCCTAAACCCTAAACCCTCCTAAAACCCTAAACCCTAAACCCTAAAACCCTAAACCCTAAACCCTAAACCGTGAACCTCCCAGTAATATTGAGGAGCTGAAGGAGGATCTGGGTTGAAAACTGGGATCAAACGTTAGAACCAAGCGTCTCAGGTCTCCCCTTTAGGTAACATGGGGCCTCGAATATTGCAAAAGGGTGTTGGGTTATCCCTAAGGGTCCAAAGGACCTAATAATCATGTACTTGGGTTACGGATAGTGGTTTTGTAGGTTAGTATTCAGAAGAGTATATGATTATTAGGTATTTGGACCCTTAGGGTATGGTATAAAGAACCATTACAGGGACGTTAGTACGCGCGAATGTTATTCCTAATCCTTCCGACCCTTGCATTATCATTTTCCCACTAGACCGGATCCCTAAATAACCCAACAGCATACACACCGGAACAGCGAACACCCCAAACCCAAAGCCCGAAAAACCCGCAAACGTCAACTCCTACATCCTAGGTAGTTCTCTAAAGTAGGGTCTTGTTTTAGGTCCCCAAAATAGTACGGCACGCTTATAAAAAGGACCCTAAATTAAAGGAAATTGCCCCCTACACTGCCAGCCTCTTCCTCGCCGCCCTCGCCAGTCGTTGAGGACGATTCCGCCTCGCATAGAAGCACCCTTCTATCAGGGTTTCTGTAAGAGTTCCTTACAGCGATCTGAAAGCATAATCGGACTTGTACTATATGTAAGAGTATACTCCAGAATTAAGGGATATTGGAAGATCTCGGTATTGATGATACCCGAAAGCCAAAACCACAGCGCCGCGGGTATCCGCCTCCATGTCCGCAAAGAGGCGGACAGCCAAAGGAATTTCCCTGGCATTGAGGGTTGAGAGTGCCGGGCTCAAAGCGAACAGGCCAGCATAATCTGAATGAGGCATTGGAAGCATACTCTAGGTTTAACAGCAAGAGTCAAAAGGATCAGCTTTCGAAGGGATATCGCTTCTCGCCAATTCCTCTCATCTCTATCTCCAAGCCAAGTTCCTTAAACCGCGCCTTTGTCGCTCCACGTCGTAGCGAAGCGATTCCTGCCGCAGCTTTGCCGCATTGGCACTCGCATCATTTTCTGGGCTGACCCTTCGCCTAAACGTCAGGTTCCACTCTGAATTCAATCTGGCACAGAACCCGAAACCCCAAACCCTAAGCTCAGATTAGACCCTAAACCCTAAACCCCTAAACCCTAAAGCAAGTTCACCTAAATGCTGTGGCGGTAATTGTAAGGGGCATGGGATCTATAACATTATAAAGGAAGTTATGCGGGTTTAGGGGTTTGGGTTTAGAATTTGGGCTTTGGGTCTAGTTACTTTTGTTCAGGGCCCACACTGCCAAATCAGTCCCTTCACCTTGCCTTAACCCTAATTACACCCGAAACCCCAAACCCCAAACCCCCAAACCCTACATCCCTAAACCCTAAACCCTACACCCTAAACCCTGAACCTCTAAACCTTAAACCCTAAATCCTACATCCTAAACCCTAAACCCCCAAAACTCCAAACCCTAAACCCTAAATCCTAAATCCGAATCCCTAAACCCCAACTCCAAACCCTAAAGCCTACATCCTAAAGCCCTAGACTCCAAACTCCAAACCCAATTCCTAGACCCCGGAAGTCCTGGGAGAATCCGTCCAAGTCGAGTGGAGGGCTCCGGTAGACCTCTGCCAACAGCCACGGTTTAGGGGTTTGAGGTTTAGGGGTTTAGGGCTTGAAGGTTTTTCTAAAGTGTACTTTGAGGGTTTGGGGTTTGGGGTTTAGGGTTGTGGGGCTTAAGGCTTAGGGTTTAGGGGGTTTGAGGTTTAGGGTTTAGGGCTTAGGGTTTAAGGCTTAGGCTTGTAGGGCTTAAGGCTTAGAAGGTGTAAGTCTTAGGTTTATAGGGTTGAGGGCTCCGGGTTTTGGGTTTAGAAAGCCCCAGGTTGCCCCTACTAGAGATTGGGGCCGTAGGGCTTAGGATTCAGGGGCTTCGGCTTACAAAACTATCGCCCATACAATGGGTTACAGTTTAGGGTATACCCATGGGCCCCTAAGTAGTTCCTTTTTATGGTTTCTATATAGAATCCTCTAAGGTAATCCCCAAAAGGAGCTACTTAGGGGGCCTATGGGTAAGGTTCAGGTGTGGATCTTGGGATCGTTACGTTACCAGAAGTGCGGGTGACTCTCAGGGGCTTTTGAAGGTCAAGTGCCGAACACATCCGGCTTCTACTTGGAGGTTCATGGCTAGTTATAAGTGGGGATATAAAGAGGGAAACTATAGTTATAACCCACATTAAGGGACTTATAACCCTACTTGTAACTACCCATGAACCTCCAAGTAGGTGCCCCAAACCTCACAGAGTAAAGTCTTTTTGGGAGCAGGACCCTGCTGCTTCGGCACATAGGCATGGGACCCTTCGGGTACACGGTGAAACTCAGTGAAACTCTCAATAGAATAACCCTGAACCCTAGGGTCGCAAGAATTGCAATGGGAGGGGGCCTCAATGGATGGACGAGGCATCCCCGAGGGTCCATGTACCCAAATAGCACACACGCTGGCCTCAAAGTAACTCTATGGGGACGGAGTACTTTAAGGCCACAGTACATACTATTTTGGTACATGGACCCTTAGAGTATGTTCCTCGTGATGAGGAACCAAGCAAGGGTATTCCTCATGCATTCTTCAAACTCCCTACAAATTAGTAACCCTTGCAGGATGTTTTGGGACACTGCCTGCAACATCGTCCAGATGGTTCGTCGGGATCAATAAAAGCTTGTGATCTGTTCGATGGGCGTTGACATACCATGACAAACCTGGGAGTCATGGGCAGCTGCTGCTATGAATCATATAGCTCCTTGGGCAAACATCCTGGATCTGGAGTGTCGAAGAGGGCATGGCGGAGGCATGTCACAATTAGAGTCTCAGACAATCGCCAGAGCACGCAAAATTTAAACATCTAAACCCTCAACCACCGAATCCCGATACCCGTAAAGAGCTTACAGCAAAATGATGCCCTACGCAAACATTTAAAGCCCTTTAAGACGGGATCCAACCCCTCTGTCAGGGAGAACAATAATAACACCCTCTGATTCTAAACTGCATACCATACGTCGACTTGGAGGTTTGATCCCTGCAAGTTGTGGTAGCCGTATACCAACCGAAAGGGGCTGCGGGCTACCCACTCTGCTACAAATAAGAAGCTAAACGCCTACTACTGCTGCTACTACTACTACGACGACGACTACTACTACTGCCACTACTGCTACTGCTACTGCTACTGCTGCTGCTACAACAACCACTACTACTACTACTCCTACTACTACTACTACTACTACTACTACTACCAGTGCCACTACTATTGTTAATTGTTGTTATCATTAATATCGTCATTAGTAGAATTTATTAACATACATCATTACAATCATTCTTATTATTATCAGTATCATTAGTAGTCTTACTTATTTCTCATGGTCTTACTATCATTCGTATTATTATTGTTATTATTACTGTTATTAGCATCATTCGTAGTCTTATGTATTGTTCATACTATCATCCTCTCTATCCGGATTAGCACCCTAAACCCTAAACCCTAAACCACTAAACCCCTAAAGCCCTAGACCCTAAACCCCTAAAGCCTAAACCCCAAACACCAAACCCCTAAACCCCTACCACCGAGCCTGGCCCAGACCCTTCTCAAAGGGGAACTCGTGGATGGCCACCGCAGGTCGGAGAGCGGGACTGGGTGGAACGCTTTGTTGGGCTTTAAGGCTTTGGGGGATTTAGGGTTTAGGGTATTGAGGGGTTTTGGGGTTTTTTGAGTTTAGGGTTTAGGGTTTAAAGGCTTAGAGTTGGGCTTAATTAGGGCTTAGGATGGGCTTTAGGGATTTTGTTGGTGGGACTTTGGGGGGCGTAGTGTTTTCTTGTGACGACGGGCTCTATGGTAGAGGCTCTTCAAGAAGAGAGTTTAGGGTTTAGGGTTTAGGGGGTATGTTGCTTGCAGGAGATTGAAGGATCCACCTCCTAAACCCTAAACCCTAAACAGGTAGTAGAAGGGGCCGGACCGGGTTTGGTGGGGGTTTCGGGCTCACGGTCGCGAATGGGGGAATAGGGCTCAGGGCTCCGGTTTTTAAGGCACGGGACAAGGCGTTTACCCAAAGGATCCAAGTATTCAGATGGTTGCTTTCAGGGCACTAGTCACCCCCCCCCCCCGAACACGGTGTAGTAGGGCAACAAGAAGGCACATAAGCAAAAACTAGAATAGTGATATCCCATATAAACCCTCTTATGAAGCCTACTAAAGTAGGCAATTCCCTTGAAATGCTTATGCTTATGTTCTTCTCGGCGCCTCATTTAGGGCTCAGGGATTTACAGCAGTAGATAGTCCGCGAAAGCAGTTCCGGGGAAACCGAAACCCTAAACCCTCTACCCTCAAACTATAGCCAAACCCCAGAAACCCAAAACCCCAAACCCCTAAACCCCAAACCCCCCAAACCCCAAACCCCCCAAACCCCAAACCCCCCAAACCCCAAACCTAAACCCCATAAACCCCTACTAAACCCCTAAACCCCCAAACCCCAAAACCCCAAACCCCCAAATCCAAATCCCTAACACCGTCAATGAGAAACTCACCCAGGCCTAGGTCTTCTAGGCCCTGGACGCCGAAACAAAAAAGTTTAGGGTTTTAGGGCTTTAGGGCTTTAGGGTTTTAGTTTTAGGGTTTAGGGTTTTATAGGGTTATAGGGTTTAAGGTTTTACAGGGTTTAGGGTTTAGGGAAAAATTTGGAACCGCGCTGGGTGCCAGGCGCCCCGTCACTGCCGGCTGGCCTGGACTGCGCATCTTCTACCGCATTGTTTGGGGCTTAGAGGTTTTGGGCGTAGGGCTTGGGGCTTAGATGGGCTTAGGGTTTAGGGAGTAGGTTTGGGGATTCAGGGTTCAGGATTTAGGCCTTAAGGTTGCCGGGCGATATAAAAAAAAGCATATAAAAAGAACTTATAACTGCCGTGCCTCTTGTTGTTAGGGGGTTGGAGGGGGTTGGGGTTTAGGGCTAAACTTTGCTGAACCAAACAGAACCAACGTCTCGGAAAACTTGTGGTGCTTGACTCAGTGTCGTGGTGTCGGGCTCTTCTTTGTAATTTAACCTCCCACCAGAGAACCCAAAATAGACACTCACCCACCTCCCTAACTAATAAGCAGCGCATCGCACACACACACACACACCTAATTATATGAGCCACCCTAGAGCCCTTAACCCTAAACATCCCTACATAATTGTAGGGTGTATAGATCACAGAAACCATTACTCGAACTGGGTTGCCCACAAACCACTTAATAACAACGAATTTATCCTTATATTCGGTTTCTGACGGAAACACAACACATTTGGTGCTTCTTTGTTGAAATTGAAACCGGAAAGTGCAAACGAGCACCACTTGGGGGACTTAGACCTAGTTCCAAAGGTACACATGAAGAAGTCGGAGTGCGATGCGCCCCAAGCCCCCAACCCCTCAACCCACAATGTGGCATAGGATCATGGTGGGACGTCGGAGGAAGGCTGATAAGTAGGCCTATCTATGTATCAGTAGCAACTATAACCTATCATCATGCAAAGAATCCCTAAACCCTAAACCCCAACTTCAACCCCAAACCCAAACGCTCAACAATGAAATCGGATGCTTACAAAGGAGCCCAAAGCTGGATTGCTCAGCTGGGGGCTCACTGCTGTTCTCCACGAGCCTCAGGGCGGGCTCACAGGCTATGCTTGAATCGTGCTCGGAAATGTAGGGTTGAGGTTTTGATTTGGGCTTGGGCTTCAGGCTCTTCGGTTCAGGGTTGAGGGTTTGGGGATTATAGGGTCTTGGGGTTTGGGGCTTTAGGGTTTGAGGGTTCAAGCTTTATAAGGTCCGAATGCTCCATGGCATCCCTGCTTCTTGGTTGGGAATGGGGGATTGGGCTATCTACTGTAAGGCGCGCTAACGGACTATCATATCCATTCCTTATACCTTTTGCATCGAAATAGCCCAAAAGCCTTATACAGTATGGTCTTTGGGCCCAAAAGCCTACTTGCCTGCTTGAATAAGATCATGGTGAGTGTGCAGAATGTAACAAATTAGCTGGGTTGTTCTGGCGCCTTAGATCACTGTTTACGGTGTTATCGACTGGTGAAACTTGGAGGTTCATGGGTAGTTATAAGTAGGTTATAAGTCCCCTAATATGGATAGTTACCCTACTTATAACCCCACTTATTACTACCCATGAACCTCCAAGTACGGCTGCAAGTGGCTTGCATGCCTCATTTTGTGCACCTCAACCTTCTTGAGTAAGACACGCATGGCTTGTCAATGCTAGGGGTAGATGGAGAAGACTCCTCTTCCAAATGTCCGGAGTGTGAGTAGTATACATGTGGGGAATCACACAGGTCGCACAGAATGTTGCTCATCAAACCCTAAACCCTAAACCGTGTTTCAGTATCGTCTTCTTGGAGTGCCTCCTCCTACTACCCATAGGCCCCTAAGTAGTTCCTTTTCGTGGTCTACATTTAGAATCCAAAAAGCTAATCCCCCAAAAGGAACTACTGAGGGGCCTATGGGTATAAACGAAAATAATGTGTTAGCCAAAACAAGGAACTACGCTAGCAGAAGTCCCTCTGTAGACCCACAGTCTAGACGCCTGGAACGCCATAATATCATGGGATTCAGGGTTGGGGTTTGGGGTTTAGGGTTTAGGGTTTAGCATAAGGGGGCTCAAGGGCCTCAAAGGCCCCACAACCCTTAACGCTAACCTGGCACCCGAAACCCAAAGCCCTAAACAGCAATAGCTTGCAATCAAGGCCTCAGTTTTCAAATCGGGTCTTGGGCGATGAGGATGCCAAAACCACCCTCAACCGGTTCACCCTATAACTATGGTTGATGGTATAAATCCTGCATGACCCATAATAATAAGGAATATACCAAAATTCCCATAGTTTAGGGTCTTTAAGGTAGTGCAGGATTTCTATCATAACTAGTAGGGTTTAGGATGGTTCAGGGCTCAGGGTTTAGTACCTAACGTCTACAGTCTGGAAGCCCCAAACCCTAAACCGAGAACCGCGAATTTTCTTGGGACGATAACACCCTCAAGCATCCAAAAGCATCCTCTAATTACCCGACGAAAAGCTTCATGCCTCAACTACAAACCTTTCTGAAACCAAAAGGGATCTTGTGACACCTTATTATGAGAACCTTTTTCGTCTCAAGCAGTGTAAAACGCTCAAGAAGCTTCTAGCCCGTCCTGGAGGACCCAGGTAACCCTAAACCCTAACCCTGACACCCTAAAACCCTAAACCCTAAAACCCTAAAACCCTAAACCCTAAACCGTAACACCCTAACACCCTAACACCCTAAAACCCTAAGCCCTAAGCCCTAAGCCCTAAAACCCTAAACCCTGGCGCCCTGCAGCTGGGCATCCTGCTGAATGCTCCGCTGGACAGGGCCCCCTGGCCTGTTGGATTTTGGTCTCCCAAGTTTATCTAGGGTTTAGGGTTTAGGGTTGGTTTAGGGTTTAGGGCTTAGGGTTTAGGGGTTTAGGGTTTATTTAAAGGAAACTACAGGTGGGGAGTTTAGAGTATATAGGGCTTTTATAAGGCTTCTATAAGGTATATAGACCTTTTATAAGGCTCCTATAACGGTAACTACCCACCTGAAAATGTCCTAGGGATTAGGGTTTAGCCAACGACTCCCAAACCCTGGAACCATATAAGGAATATAGCTGGCGCACACCTTCAATCGTATTGTGAGCATCCCCGTAGAAGCTATACAATATAATTCCTGAATTCAACTTGTTCATGGTCTTAGGCCCTAAGCCCTAAACCCCTAAACCCTAAACCCCCAAATTCAATCCCCTAAACCCTAAACCCCAAACCCTAAACCCTAAACCCTTAACCACTAAACCCTAAACCCTAAAACCCTAAACCGCGTCTTCGGGCCTTAAGCCCTTACAAAAAAAAAAACGCGCTTGAGGCCCCAGGGGCTTTCACTGTCAGATGAGGCTTTAGGGTCTGAGGGTGCTGTGGGATCTTGCTACCCCAAACCCTATTGGGTGTAGGGTTTAGGGCTTAGGGCTTAGGGCTTAGGGCTTTGGGGTTTAGGGTTTTGGGGCTGTAGGGTTTTTAGGGTTTAGGGCTTAGGATTTAGGGTTTAGGGTGAGGGTTTAGGGTTTAAGCCCGGTGCCTCAAACTCTAAAACCCTAATCGGTGTCGTGGGCTGTTTTCTTGCGCTTCTTTGTTCTAGGGTTATGGGTGCAGCCTGCGGTCTTAGGGTTTATAGGGTTCAGGATTTAGGGTTTAGGGTTTAGGGTTCAGGATTGAGGGCTTCAGGGTTCAGCGTTCAGGATTGAGGGTTTAGGGTTGAGCGTTCAGGACTGAGGGTTTAGGGTTTAGGGTTCAGGATTGAGGGCTTCGGGTTCAGGAGGTAGGGTTTAGGATTTTTTGGTTCAGGAAAATGGTTTTGGGTTGGGGGGGTTTTCCGGATTTTGGCATTGAGTTTTGTGGTTCCTGAGCTTCAGGATCTGAGGCGTCGAGTTTTGGATTGGGTTCAGGGTTTAAGGTTTCGGGTTTAGGGTTTAGGGGTTAGGGTTTAGGGTTTAGGAGGGTTATAGGGTCAAGGTCTCAGGGTTTGAGGTTAGGGCTTCGGTTTTGGATGCTTAGGCTTTCAGAAGGGCTCTCGTACATGGCTTTATGAAGTGTGTGTGTGTGTGTGGCTTTGGGCTATCAAGGATCCTGTGATTTAAGGATGGCGTGTTGGAAATCCTTTCTTCCGAAATTCATCAACCCTGGCCCGAAGCCCTGTCAGAAGCAGACCAGGCTTCGAGTGCGGGATATTGTAAGCCTCAGGGATTCGGGTTCAGGAAATAGGGTTTCGGGTTTAGGGTTCACTGAATGACACATCGGGTGTTGATCCTGCCCCCCTCACCCCTGATGAGCATCATCAGAATCATCAGCATTCCAAAACCCTAGCCTCTAAAAACCCTGGTAAGGATTTCAAGGAGCATCACACAGCAGAGGAAGACACCGAGCCGATGGAGGTGATCAATGCTTGCTCTGCATCAAGGACGGCGGAACGCAAGGCTAGGGCTCAGGGGGTTCAGCGTTTAGGGCGTCAGGTGAGGGAGGGACCCAAATAAAATGCTTCCTCGGCTGATTGCCTGATGACTCTCCATTTGGAGTGTTTGGCTCCTGCTTTTGGGCACACGTGGCAGATGTATCATTCTCCAGTTCTCGCGCCATCTATGAGAGAGCTGGATCTCGTCCAGGCCACCTCCACTGTCGCCACCTTGTCCTCCGGCAAAATGCAAATTCGATGGCTTGACGGCATCTTGCTGACACGCAAAGAACTGCTGCTTTGCTCCAGCTTTTTTGGTGCCCGCTTTCATATCAGTACGCATGAACTCAAGGTTCGCAGATCCTTGCTGCGTGTTGCATAAACCTAATTGTCTCTCCGGCAAGCATCCTTGCCCACCTGCCTCAAAACTGCTGCTGCGCTCGCACCCCCTGAAATCTGCCTTCTACGTTTTCGACACAGCACGTTGTGGTATACATGTGTGCGGACAATGACTACGATGTTGACGTTACTGTATGTTATAACAGTTATTCGGATCTCGGTATCAGTCGCCGAACTCTGCAATCATTCGTAGAATCTTTCGAATCAGTTCGAAAGTTTCAAACATCCTGCAAACCCTACGCCCATGCAGTGTAATTGTCCCCAGCGACAAGCCGTCGCAAAGCTCGGATACTAAGGGCTTGGCTGGGTGTCGTTCTGTTCGACCTGCATCAGCGAGACAGTCGAAATCCCACATTCGGGGTTTCGGGCTCAGGCTTTGATAGGCTTTGTATTGGTGTGCCGACAGGTGTACACAGAGCTCTTCCAGAATGTTGAATGAGGGCACATCTGTGTTTGTCTTTTGGGGCATACTCGTAACCAACAGCTTGCTCTCAAGGGTCCGTCTTGCACTGCCCACCGTACTGGAGAGGAGAGGGAGAGACACAGAGAGACAGAGAGAGAGAGCGAGAGAGAGACATACGCAAGGGGGTTTCCGAAACTAGGGGGACCCTAATATAGTACCCCAAATACTAGGATCCTTAGTATAAGGACCCCCAACTTAAGGTACCCCTTATAATGGGAAGCTGCCACATCATGCCAGGCCTTGCACGTCTTCCAGTGCTAGGCGCGGAAATTCCGAAGGCTGCAGAAATTGAGGCTTCCAAAGTTCCAAGCTGAAACGAGGTCGGAAATTGACAACCTTCACGGAATTCGGTCTAAGGCTTTTTATCCCACACCCCGAAACCCTAAACACCACAGTTTGCTTGACGCCAACACCACACACCTTAAACTCCGAAGCCCCATGGTGCTGCGGCGGGGTTGAAGTGTTTCTCCTTCCAATAGAGATGTCGCAAGTACACGGATACCCTAAGGGTCCATGTAGCCAAATAGATATACTTTGGCCTTAAAGTAGTCCCCATATAAGTACTTTGGGGCCAATGTATATACTATTTGGGTGCATGGACCCTTAGGGATAGGTAGCGAGCCTCGGTGACGCGCAAGTAAATAGACCTGGCAGAAAGAAACTGGGCGAGTTCTTAAACTTGGGTGTTCTGTCTTGGGTGGCCCTTCTACTATGGATTCTACTGCGCCGGATGCTTGTTTCAGACGCCTTCGTGTTTTTAAAAGAGCCCCTCATAAGACAACTTGAGTAGGGAATGTGCAGAATGCCACTTCCTTAAGGACGAAATGAACCCTAAAAGGGTTTAAGGTTAATATACAATATAGTAATTCATAGTACAAGGGTATGGTGCCCCTACTTTTAAGTGTCCTTTCGTCCTTACAAAACAGGCAACCCCGATACACCAACACTCAGGATGGCTTCGATTCTAGCCTAACCCTAAGGGTCCATGTATCCAAATAGATATACTTTGGCCTTAATGTAGTCCCTATTTGGGTACTTTGGGGCCTATGTATATCTATTTGGCTACATGGACCCTTAGGGTAAGGTAGGAGCTTGATTCAGAAGCCCTGGGGGTCGTTTTTTTTAGGAATCTTTCTGTCAATCCTGACATGTTTGGGGAACTTCCGGCTGTGCAAATGCAGAAACCCTAAACCCTAAACTCTAAACCCTAAACCCCTAAACCCTAAATGTAGAAACCCTAAACCCTAAATGTAGAAACCCTCAACTCTAAACCATAAACCTTAAACCCTAAATGTAGAAACCCTAAACCCTAAACATGGCTGCGCATGATTGCATCCCGAGTGGTCTGGACGTCAAAGACTCGGAATGCTGCTTCCAAGGAAGGCGTCCATCTCCTCGCCGTCGGAGAACCAAGTGCCGTACTTCTTGTACGTCTCCGTCACCTTGTTCCAAAACTCACGTCCTTGATCGGTGCTCCCTTGATGGGCTCCGATCCTTTCTTGTCTTGCCGTGCTGCTCGGTACTCTTGCGTCTTCCTTTTGAAGTGCCACATGTAGGGAATCATCCGGAATCTCTGCGCTCAAGCGGTCGATGAGCAGTCGGACACAGGACCCAACTGCCTGCAAAGAACTTTCATACGAGGATCTTGTCTTGTCCCACAAGACCTTTGGCCTTCCAGGAAGTCGTGAGCCCTAACACCCGTAGCTAGCTCTAACCCCTGGAACCCAAGCAACTCTCCCGCAAGCCGAAGCCGCATACACCACAAAATCCAACGGCTCGACATCTTCGAAAATATCATACTACTGATGATGATGATGATGATGATATATATATATATATATCCTGCATTACCTTAACTAAAACCTGAAAAAGCCAAGCCCTCTAAAGAAAGCCCGAACCCCGAATTAAAGGATACTACAGGTGGGGAGTTTAGGGTATATAGGGCTTCTATAAGCCTTGTATAAGGTATATAGACCTTCTATAAGTCCTAGACCTAAACCCCTTCAGACTCTGAGCCCGACCCTGAACCGTGAAGCATATCACTTGATCCCAAACCCCTAAGCCAACCCTTGTAATACTGTAAAGAAAGCACACAAAACCCTGAACTCTAAATCCTAAACCCTCAACTACCCTAATCCCTGCACCCTCAACTGCTCCAAACCCTAAACCACAACCCTAAACCCTAGAAACAACCTTAAACCCTGAACCCTAAACCCCTAAACCCTGAACAACCCTAAACCCCTACGAACAGCTCTAAACCCTAAACCTCAAACCCTAAATCCTAAACCCTAAACCCCTAAAAACAACTCCAAACCCGAAACCTCAAACCCTCAATCCTGAACCCTAAACCCCATAAACAACTCTTTATAAACCATAAACCTTAAACTCAAAACCCTAAACCCTAAAAATCAAAAGAATTTTAAAAAAAAACACGAAGGCCGGAGGCACAGGTTGCCAGGTTTCAGAGCATCGAAGATGAAGTTCAGCTCCACGGGCCCTGGGGGTAAAGGCTTTTTCTTCGGGTTCGGGCTTTGGGTTTAGGGTTTAAGGTTTTTCTTTGGGTTTAGGGCTTCCAGTTGAAGGTTTAGGGTTTAGGGTTTATGGGGCTTAGTTTTTTTTTTTTTTTCGGTTTGCGGCCTCGGGTTTAGGGCTTAGGGTTTGGGGTTCGGGGTTCAGGGTTTATAGGGTTTGTAGGGACGGTTTATGGGCTTGGGGCTTGAGGTTGGATGTTCGGGGTTGGTTGAGTGTTTGGGGGCTTAGGGTTTAGGTTTGCTTTTTGGCTGGTTAAGGTGAAAGTAAAACTTTGACAGGCCTTACGGTTTTACGATGGAGTTTAGTTTTTGTTGCTTTGCTTCTCCGGGCTGCTGCTTTGGCTGTGCTGTTTATAAGCTGTTGGGCTTAATTGGCTTAGAGCTTGGCTTAGTGCAGTTGGCATTGAGCCGCGGTTGGCGTTTCAAGACACTGCGGGGTTCAGGACACCGTTTAGGGTTTAGTTTAGGGTTTAGGATTTAGGATCTAGGAATTTAGGAATTAGGCAACGGGGTTTCCAAATCCGGGCCCAGTAGCCTAAAGTCCAGTGCTTGGCTCTATGGTAGTACGGCTTGCAGATTTGTAACTAGGGGAGACGACTTTATGATTCCTAAACCCTAAACGGCCCTCAACCCTAAACCCTAAACCCTCCTAAACCCTTAAACCCTAAACCCTAACGGCCCTAGGCCCTAATTAAAACCCTAAGCGGCCCTAAACCCTAAGCCCCAAAGCTTGTTCGGCAACTGAGCCTTTGACATGGAGCTTTGGGATAGTTTAAGACTCAAAACACCTGAGCCCTAGAGCCCCAAAGCCTGCCGCCTCCGACCTGAACCCCTTGGAGTTTAGGGTTGAAGGTTTAGGGTTTAGGACCATAGGGTTTAAGGCTTTTAGAGTTTAGAGGCTAGGCATTTTAGAGTTTAGGGGTTAGGGGTTCGGGTTTACCCAATGCCCGAAGATGCCAGAACCCAAGCCCGCGCCCTGAACCTGGTCAACTAAGCCATAACGGCCAAAAGCGTTGGGGTATCATGGACCCCTGTAAACCCAAAACCTTACCCGATAATCAGGGCTTAGCGTTTTAAGGCCGTCAAAAACCCAACTCCCTGAATCCAACGCCTCACACCCTCCACCCCGAAACCTTAAACCCCGAAGCCCTAGACCCTAAATCCCAAACCCTAAACCCTCCACCCTAAATCCTTTGCCATCTGCCTCCCGAAGACGACTTGGGGCTCGACCTGGGATTCTTAGTTTAGGGTTTAGGGTTTAGGTTCTTGAAGGTGGCGTGATATGTCCAAACCACAAATAACTCAAGAATTTGAGAGTTTGGAAGACTTGCAGTGTTTACGAGGGTGTGGTAAAGAGCTCTTAGAAACAGTGCAGATTTACATTTATATAGTCCCCATATACGGAAACGATGATGAAATGCCACCCCCCCCCCCCAACGCCTTAGTCTAAGCATGGTATACTGCAGGTGCGAGGCATTCGGGTGCAGAGATCCAATCTTACGTGCTTTGGCGGCTTGCGGCATATATGTGAGGATTCTATCAAGACTTAGCATAAAATGGCTTGTGAAGGTCTTATACAATACTACAGTTACTACAGCCTATGTCCGCTTTAGCCTTTAGTGGCTTTGGAGCTTAGTGACGTTCAGTAGAATTGGCATGGGCGGCTAAGGCTCATGCCAAGGGCAAGGGAGTCTGCTTTGCCCTATGATTAAAGACTGCTCTTGGGCTGCTAGGATTAGGAATTCCGAGGGGACGCTGGATGCTCGTCAAGGAACTCGATGGTGCTGCGATGATACGGATAGACAGTAAAAGAAGGTACGTTAGTCAACAGAAATGAAATCAGGCTAATGATGGCTGCTATTACCGCTGCGGCGACTGCAACTATTTTGCTATTGACGCTTGTGCATCTGTGCTTTGAATACGAAGTGTTCAACGCACTGCCGGCTCAAGCAATGCACTTCGCACTAAGCTTTCAGAATGGGTCCGTACGGTCTGCGAACGACAACGGAAAAAAGTGATTGTGATGGAGTAGAGACAGGACAGCTTCTGTTTGACCCTGCCTTGACTCTGAAGGCCCTAAACTCCAAGCCCTATAAACCCCTAAACCCTCAAACCCTAAACCCTAAACCCCTTAACCCAATTACCCCAAAACCCTAAGCCCCTAAGATCCGAACTACCTTAAGCAAGCAGCAAGCCCCTACACCCTAAACCACGAAGCCTCCAAAACCCCCCCAAACCGTAAACCCCAAAACTAGGGTTCAGGGGCTTTTCCAACCCCCGCCAAAACCCCAAAACGCTGAAAGCCCTATGTTCTGTTGATCAAAGCCCCTATATATTGAACCCTACTACCAAACCTTATGGAATCCTTTTAAAGGAATCCCCGCATACCCTAGAATCTAGAGGGTCCATGTACCCAAATGGTGATATACTTTGGCCTTAGAGCAGTCCCTATATAGCTCCTTTGGGGCCAAAGTATTCTGGACTTTGAAGTAACCAGGGAGAAAAAAAGTATAGACTTCTATTTTATAGTGGTTCCTTTAAGGAACAGGTCCAATAAAAAAGTATTCAAGTATGGTACTCCAGAACCCAGTATATACTATTTGGGTAGTTGGACCCTTACCCTAAGGCCCAAAATAGTCCAAAAGCCTCCGCCTTAGACAGTATGGTCTTTGGGCCCAAAAGATTTGAAACATGAGGCCTTAGAGCCTTAGGGTTAGGCATAAGGAAACCCTAATCTCTAAACCCCTAATAGAATCTCTATAAAACCCCAAAACCCTGAAGAACCCTTGAAGCTATTAGGCATAAGGAAACCCTAGACCCTAAACCCCATAAATCCTAAAAAAACCCGAAAACTCTAAACCCTAAACCCCAAACCTGAACCCTAAACCCTAAACCCTAAAGCCTAAACCCCAAACCCAAAAACCTATAGCCTAAACCCAAAACCCCTAAACCCCAAGCCCCAAGGAACTCCAGGCCGCTGCAGAAAGCTCCTGAGCATCGGGCGCGTGACCTTCCGGTACTTTGACCTGATAAGGGGCTTTAAGGATTGGGGTGAGTTTTAGGGTTAAGGGTTTAGGGGTTTAGGGGTTTGGGGTTTAGGGGTCTGGGGTTTAGGGTTTGGCGGTTTAGGGGTTTGGGGTTTAGGGTTTGGGGTTTAGGGTTTGGCGGTTTAGGGTTTAGGGGTTTAGGGGCTCAGTGGTTTGGGGTTTAGGGTTTAGGGTTTGGGGTTTACGGGATTGGGGGTTTAGGGTTTAGGGGTTTAGGTTTCAGGGTGTGGGGCTTCCTATTTTTTTTTATCTAAGGGCGTTGAGGGCTCAAGGAACTATGCATGAGGGCGTTGCGGGTCTGGGGTAGGGGTTTGGAGTTTTGGGGCTCTCAAGGCACCTTTAGGGGGTCAGGTTTTGCGGGTTCAAGACATTTGGGATTGTAGGGCTTCGCTTTGAATTGATCTAGAGCCTTTTGGGGTGTAGGGCCAGCAGGCACTTAGTGAAGAGTTTGGGGTTTCGGGTTTAAGCGAGAAGTTAATTTCACGTGCTAGACCAAGATCAGGGCACTTCGCCTGGTTCAGTCATAGGTTACCCTTACCAATCCGCTTCGATTTGCAACGCCACATTCAGGCCGAAACACATTGAACCTCATCTTCGCGCTTCAGGGGGTCGTGGGCCATGGTCCAGCCACTCAAGCCAGCAAAGTCATCCGGACTCCACACCCCACCAAGCAGCATGAAGTCCAGATCCCTCTCAGCAGAGGCTTCTTCCAGTGCTTCGTCCGGCAGCTCGAGAAATCTCTCCGAGAGACAATAGCGTATGTCCCGTACATCCATGGCTTACAAATCTCAATTATCTGAATTTTCCAGTATTACTATCAAGAACAGGATCCCAGTTTCTTGAATGTGCGGTTTTGCAATGCAAACACTGAAATGGCCAGAACCTTCGTCCTTGAAACAACATAGTTAAGGAATGCATGAAGCGGAACGCATGAACACTGGTCAAGCAGGCAAGGGCCGAAGCAGAACGACCAGCACGCAAATCGAAGCGGATTGGTAAGGGTAACCTATGATTCAGATACCCAAAGCCGAAAGCAAAGATGATATCACCATGGCAATTCGTTGTCAAGCAGACCTCACCACTGACTCCATACCAGGCAACTTGATCCCATTTTTGAAGCGGGTTATGTATTTGTGAAGCGCGTGGAGCCCATGCGACCCTCTTCCAGAAGATTTGGCCATGACAATCTGGGTAGTTCTCTAAATTAGGGTCCCCTTTGAGGTCCCCAGTATAGTACAGCAGTTTTATAAAGGACCCTATGAGGGACCCTAATTATGGCCCTAATTTAGAGATCTAGCCTGCGAATGAACCATTCCAGAAGAGCGTTGCAACTCCGGGCCTTGCAGACCGATCGGAAATCACCACAGCTTTAGGGTTTAGGGTTTAGGGCTTAAGTGCAATGCCCTAACTGTGAGGGTCCATATACCCAAATAGTATATGCTTTGGCCCCAAAATACCAATATAGAGACTACTTTGGGGCCAAAGTATCTACTACTTGGGTACATGGACCCTTAGGGTAAAGCCCTAAACCCGAAACCCGCTTTGAAAAGCCCCAAACACTTCACCAAGCTCCCCGCATGCAGAGACGCCTTCCGGAGACTAATACAACTCTTCACCAAGGATGCCTGGCAGGGCGTTGCAGAGTTTGGGGTTTAGGGTTTTTAGGAGTTTTTTGGGTTTATATATTTAGGGTTTAGGTCTTGTAAGGGTTCTGCTTCAGTGGCTTCGAACGAGGAGCAGGGGTTTTTGGGGCTTTAGATGGCGTTAGGATCTATGGCTTGGAGTTCAGGGCTTAGGAGCTCTAGGCACTACAACGCCTCTATACATCATGAGCTGGTCTCTACCCATAGGCCCCTAAGTAGCTCCTTTTTGGGTTTACCTTATAGGATTCTTAAAGATAAACCATAAACAGGAACTACTTAGGGGCCTATTGGGAAGAGCGATGGTGTGGGTGACAACATGGGCAGCTCAAGCGGTCTGTTTATTGATTTCTGCAGGTCCGCAGGCTTCAACCACTAACTCGCCAGCACGCATACCGCAGTCGAAGCAAACAGGCAACCAAAGTAAAGCGCAGTCGTCAAGACAAACAGGCAACAGCAACGATCGAAAGCCGCCGAGTCTCTCATGTTCCGCCCGATTCTGCTTGAGGAGTGAAACGATCCAAGGACTGTACTACACCATGAGTCTCAATAAAGTATTGCCTTTAATCCATTGAGAGTGCTTTTCGTCGTTTAACCTCTAATTAACTATGGAACCCGCACAATAAAAGCTAAGTGAACCTCAAATTCTCGTAGCGTGCATGTCGTCCTACCCCCATCCTAAAGGACGAAATGAGCCCTGAAGTAGGGGCCCTATATACCCTTATACTATGCATTACTAGCTGGTATATGAACCTTAAGGGGTTCATTTTGTCCTACCCCCAAGGTCGCTGGCCTGGCGCAAGTCCGGAGGACGCACGGGCGGCCCTCAGGGCATCGAAACCCTCATTCGGGTGCTCAGGGCTTCGGTTCAAGCTTTGGGGCCATAGGGCTTAGGGTTTAGGGCTAAGTGCTTAGGTTTTAGGGTTTAGGGTTTAGGGGTTTAGGGGTTTAGGGTTTAGGGTGAAGGTAAACAAACACTTTGGAGCCAAGGGGATGCAAAAGTTATGCCGCACTTGACCAAACATCCGAAGACGCTCAACTGCAGTCAACTGCACTCAAAGACACCCGCCCCCTATCCTTGCCTTAAACTACCAAGACCTACTTTTTTTGCAGGGCCCCCATAAATTCATATTGCAATTCATAGTAAGAACAAAACATAGATTTTGGTAGGTTTAGGTAAACCCTGAGCCCTAAACTCTAAAACCCTTATCCGCCTTAGTAAACCGTAAGCTTATGGATGCCGGAGAGGCTTTGTACACAGTCTGAGATCCAAGAAGGGCAGCTTCAGTCAGTGCGCCTGGGAGGCCTTGGTGGCATAGTTTTCGGTGGGATCGCCTTGGCCACCAGGGTGAGCGAGTATTCATAGGCCGCCACATGGTGGAGGGCGGGGGTGGCCACGTAAGGCGGAAAGTACACGTGGACACCCCCGCCCCCCGCTCCCAGAAGTGAGTATGGCCAGGACCCTCCCAGTGATGGGAAGAAGTGGCTGTGTGAGGTGTGTGCCGGATCCGGGACAGGCGGTCCTGAGGCTTTGTAGGAGGGCGTCGGTCCTGCTGTTTTGGCCTTGACAGGTGGGCCTTTAGCAGGCATTGGTGCTTTCGGGGCAGCCTTAGCATCACCTGAAGGTGTGGCAGATCCTATTGCTGGGGGCACCGGGGTATGGGTGGCCGGGCTCTCGTCCGAGTCGTCCTCCGCCCCGTCATTTCACCGTAAGCCCTACGGCCAAAAATCTTAAAACCCTAACCCTGCCCTTGAGCCCTACACCCTGAGTCGTAAAACCCTAAACCCTACACCCTAAAACCCTAGAGTTTAAAGCCCTACAACCCTAACCCCTGAAATCCTAAAACCCTAAACCCTAAAACCCTAAACCCTAAAACCCTAAAATCCTAAAACCCTAAACCCTAAAACCTAAAACCCGAAAACCCTAAAACCTAAAACCCGAAACCCTAAAACCCTAAAGCCTAAAACCCTAAAGCCCTAAAACCCTCATCCGTCGCCAGCCCCAGCACGAACCTGCGGTCCGAATTAGGCAGCCCCTGAAGCCGAACAGAGAACTTTGGGTTGCAGGTGTTTAGGGCTTGGGGGTTTATGGCTTTACGGTTTAGGGTTTAGGGTTTAGGGTTTAGGGTTTAGGATTTAGGGTTTAGGGGTTAGGGGTTTAGGGCTTTACCGGTTTAGGGGTTTAGGGGTTAAGGCGTTCAAGGGCTTCGAAGAACTATAGGTTTATAGTTCAACTCCATACTCGGAGGTTCATGGGTGGTTATAAGTAGGGTTAGAAGTCCCTTAATCTTATGGGTTAACTATAGTTGCCCTAATTATAACCCCACTTATAACTACCCATGAACCTCCAAGTATCCCTTATTTAGGCCTCCCTGCTTAAACCTTCCATCCAGGAACTCTTGAAGACCACGGGAAAAGCGCAGAAGAGCACCACTTTGGGTTTAGGGTTTAGGGTTTAGCACCACTTCAGCTTAAAAACCCTCGAAAACCTTCTGGGCACCCCCCATATATATATATATATATAAACCTCCTGGTTGAAGACTCCGCGAGAAGACCCCGAGCCCTGAAACCCCGTAGAGTGCTTCTAGACACCCCTAAAGCCTAAAGCCCTAAAGCCCGAATAGTAAGCCCCAAACCCCCCCAAAAAAAAACCCAAAACCCCATATAATCTCGCACCCTTTAACCCCGAAGCACCAAAAACACCCTAAACCCTAAACCCTGAAAACCCGGCACCCTGTAACCCCGAAGCCCAAAAAAAACGCCAAGGTCCCGACTGCCGCTCGCTGTGCCACGGCGCAGGACGAAGCCGTCGAAGTCGAGGATATCCGGGCGAGGCATGACCTTGTTGAGAACTTTGGGGCTTTAGGATTTTTGGGTTTTGGGGGTTTAGGGTTTAGGGTTAAGGGTTGAGATTATTGGGGCTTTAGGATTTTGGAGGGTTTGGGGGTTTGAGGATTTTGGGGGTGTTAGGGTTTTAGGGTTTTACGGCTTTAGGGTTTCCAGGTTTAGGGCTGTAGGGTGTTAGTGTTTGAAGGCTTTAGAGCTTTACTTTACGGCTTTTGGGTCTTAAGGGTTTGGGGCTTGAGGGCTTGGTGGGGATAGAGTCTACAGATCCTTTATTTGATCTACAAGGCTAGAACTTTTCTTAGGCGTCCTTCCGCAAGGGCTTCTGCCAGGGGTCTGGATGTGTGAGGAAATGACCTTTTGAGATTTTTTTTTCGCGAAGAATCTGTATAGGGTTTTCGAGTCCTGCACTTGGGCTTAGTGTTTCGGGTTCAAGGCCCGGGTGTAGTGGGGTTTAGGATCCTGCGTACAAGGGTTCCGCACATGCAGCAACATCAACAAACATTCGAGTACCCTATAGCCTAGAATCATAAACTTGGGGCACAGTTTTTTGGGGCCCTTATATGCATAGTGAGGATCCTACGGTTCCATGTTCGGCCCATTGTCTGAAACTCTCATATACCGCCCAAAAACCTAGCCGAACAGCGTGCGGGCTTAGAACAACCATAGTGCGCACTTCCACTGTGTCCTTGATTAAGGGGTACTGGGCTCTCTTGGGAACTCCCATCTCGCCTCCGTGAGCCCTAAACCCTGACCCCTGTAGCCTAAACCCCTACACCCGACAGCCCCTGACCCCTAAACCCCCTAAGCCAAACAAACCTAAAACCCTAAAACCCTAAACCAAACAAACCTAAAACCCTAAACCCCTAAACCCGACAGCCGTAAGCTACCCACGGTCTAAGAAACTCTGGGACAGACACCGGCATGAGATTCTGGGGCTCGTAGCGCCCATTTCGCATGACCTCGACACGGTTTATGGCCGTTTGGGGTCTATAGGGGTTTAGGGTTTTCAGGCTTCTTTCAAAAGAATGTTGGAGTCTCAAGATACTCATAGGCTCCTAAGTAGTTCCTTTTTGTGGTTTATATTGAGATTCCTATAAGGTAATCCCAAAAAGGAACTACTAAGGAGCCTATGGGTATACTCACCACCTCGGAAACGGAGTGCCATGATCCTCCAAGAAACAAGCGGTTGCCAAGAGTGTCCACTTGGAGGTTCCATGGGTAGTTATAAGTGGGGTTGAGGGTATATAGGGCTTATAGGGTTTATAGGGTTCATGGGTAGTTATAAGTGGGGTTATAAATAGGCTATCTATCCATATTAGGGACTTATTATAACCCTACTTATAACTACCCATGAACCTCCAAGCAACAGTGACACGGGCACACACCACGAACCTACACAGCAAGGTCCCAAACACCAGAATTGCTCTGCGAGTGGTTGTGGGTATGGTACCCGTACAGGACCCCAACCTTTGGTTACTTGGACCCTCAGTGTACCATATGGAACCTGCAAAGCGACCAGGCATCACAATGAAAAACACAAAACAACTCGATGAACTCTCTCCGAAGCCCAGGACGCCACTTACATCTCCAATCCCCCAGCCCTAAACCCTGAAACCCTAAAACCTTAAAGCCCTAACACCCTAAACCCTAACACCCTAAACCCCCAACCCCCAAACCAAACAAACCTAAAACCCTAAAACCCTAAAACCCTAAACCAAACAAACCTAAAACCCTAAAACCCTGAAGCCCCAAAACCAAAGCCCTAAAGCCTAAAGCCCTAAAACCCTGAAGCCCTAAAACCCTGAAGCCCAGCATCATGGAACCCAAGACCTCCAAATCCTACGGCGGAGCTTTTACGTACCTCACCCGCCCCACAAAACCCACCTTTCCAACAAGATGCAGAAGTTCCGGTTTAGGGTTCAGGGTTTAGGGTTTAGGCTTTAGGGTTTAGGGTACTGTAGAAGCCTATAAGGGTCCATGTGCCCAAATAGTGGATACTTTGGCCCCAATATATACTATTGGGGTACATGGACCCTTAGGCCTAAGGAAACCCTAAACCCAAAAAAACCCAATAGAATCCCTATAATACCCTAAAGCACTAAACCCTTATGGTACCCTTATAGTACCCTAAGGGTAGGAATGAAGGTATGGTTTAGGGCTCTAGGCTTCTAACGGTTTCCACAGCTCCCGACCTTTCGGTTTAGGGCTTACAGGGTTTAGGGTTTCGGGTTTAGGGTTTAAGGTTCGGTTTTAGGGTTTAAGGTTTCGGGCTTCGGGGTTAGGGTTTAAGGTTCGATTCTAAAGTTTAGGGTTTAAGGTTTCGGGTCTAGGGTTGAGGGTTTAAGGTTTCGGTGCTAGGGTTTAGGGTTTCGGGTTTCGGGTTCCGACTTCCAGGAATTCGAGACCCCGCTAAGACCATGGGAACCCCGAACCCGCAGGCCCCGAACACCCAGACACCAAATCCTGAACCCCCCTACTTGGAGGTTCATGGGTAGTTTGTAAGTGGGGTGATAAAAGTAGGGTAACTATAGTTATAACCCATATTAGGGGACTTATGACCCTAATTATAACTACCCATGAACCTCCAAGTAAACATAGACCCCGACAACCCACTAGTCCTCCAGCCCTGTACGTAAGCCGTAATCGTCTTTGGAGGAGTCTTCAACACGGGCTACACTACCCTAGCCTCTTCACTCCAACGGTAAACCAAAATCCTACATCCTCTTACGTTTCCGGATCGCCCCTTTTTGGAGCCCCAGCAAAAACCGACGAACGAGGTGGTGGTGGCGGAACATCTTCCTCCCGAACATCATCATTCAGCATATAACTTCATATAACTACATACCTGGTTGGAAGGAGTCACTTTCATTCTTTTTGTGTGTGTAGTATAGATTGGACCCAGCACAGGAGCAGGCGAAGGCAGGTCAAGGCCGATAGTACTGGAAGATGCTTGAAGGCTGAGCGTTGGGGCCTAGGGGCCTGGGATGACAGAAGTGAGCATGCGAGCAGTAGTTGCAAGCTGTCGTTACAGTAATTACCGAGAAAAGGTCTGCGGAGTTGCCTAGACGTGCAGAAATATTCTGCTAGTTGCGTACGAGGGTGTACATGCATGTTTCTGTATATGCATATACAAACCTGCGAATGCCTGTACCTGTCATGCATACTTGAATGTTCGAATGACTCACACTGTCACATTACGTTACATGCAATTTGCACAAGGATAGATACAATGCATATACTAACTATGTCCTGTTTCTGAGCGCCTGCAACAGTTTGCTGTTCGTAATCATTCTATACGCAACCAGACATCATATCAGAAGGCATACCTGGTACAGGATGCGTATGCATGTGCAGCTGAATGTAAGTACACAGATACAGGCGGACAGAGCGACCCTCCCTAAAGGTCCATGTATCAAATCCTACACCCTCAACCCTCAACCCTCAACCCTAAACCCTAAACCTATAGTATATACTCTGGCCTTAAAGTAGTCCCTATGCAGGGACGTTGTGGCCGAAGTATATCTTCTTTGGGTACATGGACCCTTATACCCTAAACTTCGCCCTAAGCCCTTAAGCCGTTATAACAACCTTACTTGGAGGTTCATGGATAGTTATAAGTAGGGTTGTAAATCCCCTACTAATGGGTTATAACTATAGTTCTCCTACTTATAACCCCACTTATGTTATAACTTTTCAATAGCTACCTATGAACCTCTCAGTATAGTAGTAGAATCGAACGCTTAGGAAGCGACCGTGCTCCTTGTGATGCCCGGCACTCGGGGCTTTGGGGTGCAAGAACTCCCTAAACCCTAAACCCTAAACCCAAACCCAAAAACCGAAACCCTAAACCCAAAAGCCGAAACGCAAAACCCAAAACCCCAAACCCTAACTTAACGCTGTATCTCAGGAACCCCGCCAGGGGCTCCCAATGCAGATAGGGGGGGGGGTGGGTTTAGGGTTTAGGGGTTTAGTGATTTAGGGCAATTAAATTAAGGGGTTTAGTGCTTAAGGGTAACTAATTTCAGGGGTTTGGGGCTTTAGGGGAATGAAATCTAGGGTAAAACCCTAAACCCCTCAACCCTAACCCCTAAACCCATCAACCCTAAACCCCTAAACCCCGGAAACCCCCAAAACCCCTAACCCCCCAAAACGCCCCCTGCCCGGTGCACCTGGTTATCCCAAAGTGTCCACATGGCGATGCAGCTGCGAAAGAGTGGGAAACGGCGAGCTACGATTCCTAGAACACCAAAACCCCCGAGCCTTGAGACTCAAAAGCCTGCTGTAGGGAGCCTTATAAGAATTAGAATAGGGCTTTGGGGGCTCCTTTTATTGTAACTCTGGTATAGTATCCCAAAACCGCATTCCTATACCACCACCCTAAATCCGAATCTCACAGACTTCTGCTGCTGTCTAGTTGGTGGAAAGTCGGACAGGTTTTCGATCGAAGGCCGTAAACGTTGGTGGGCGTGTATGCAAGGATTCGGTTTTAGGGGTCCTAACGGTTTGTCGTTTAAGAATGTCGATGTGATAGCATGACCTCACTATTGCAAAATGGAGCCCGTGTGCTCAACACGAGACAGTGCATCAGCACACTGGAACTGTACGGCCTCAGCCTAAATCGCACACAGGCAGAAATTGAGCTATCGAAACCTTTGTGCTCCAAAGAAGCACAGGGAAGGCCTGAAAGAAGACACGGCTTTGAGCAGGAGCGGGGAAACGGCCCGTCAAGATCGCGAGATGCATGCAGCTTAGGGTTTAAGGGTTAGGGGTTTAGGGGTTTAGGGCTTTAGGGGTTTAGGGTTTAGGGTTTAGGGGAGTCCAAGTGCGCAAGTTTTGTAGGGTGTAAAGTCCGAAACTGCACCTGAGACCGACTTGTTCCTGGCACGACTTCGACCCTTGGCGGCGGGTAGGGCTTGGCATCTTGGGCCTTCAGATATCGCATCAAGATTTAGGCTCCGTGACGTGACGTGAAAGAACTGCTTTGGTGTTTTAATTAACTCTGAAAACTACTGCAAACAAAACCGTACAGTCACTACAGAAGTACTTTGAATTCTGCAAGGGCAGCCGGCTATGTCCATAAGTGCGTCGTGTCTGGTGCTGGTTGGACTGTCCGTTAGACCAGGCAAGAGCCTGAAACGACAGTTTTGCCGGCTGCGCGGTTTGACGAACAAACTTTGCTCTCGGATGGTGAGGAACCATGCCCACCAACCACAAAGCCCAACACCTGAAGTCGTAAACCCCAACCCTCCAGCCGCAGAAAGAAACGTTAAAGAAACCCATCGCTGATCCCAAATGACATGACAACAACCCTACAAACAGCCTTAAAATAGGTTAAAGTAACATCCAAGGCAACCGTCTAAACCCTTATCCCTCATCCCAGGCCCAATCTCTGAACCCGAAACCTGAATACCTAAAACCCTAAACCTCTGAACCCTTACTGGGTTTAGGGTTTAGGGATACCCATCCCCCAGGCCTGTCTCAGGAGCTCCACTGAATCCTTCGATGTCTGATCAGCTTGTGGTGAGGCTTTATGTAGGTTTCTACAGGGATACTACAAGGCTTCTAGGATTCTTGCGATTAAACTCTAACCCCTAAACACTAAACCCATGCTGTTTTTTTTGTAAGCTGTTGAATACTTTGGGGTTTTAGGGGTCTATAGGGCTTAGGGAAGGCTTCGGGCTTTGGGGATTTCCTTATAATGCACCCTCAATCGGTGGGGTTAGGGTTTAGGGCTTAGGGAGGAACATAGCTATGTAGAGCCCTCAGAGGATAACCCTCAAGGAATTTTTCAGATCACCCTGAGAGGAACCTTCATGGGGGGAAGCTTCTTAGTCAGTCTGCAGGGACGATTCAGGGACGGCTTGGGTGTTGGTAGGGGTTCGGTGTTTAGGGTTTAGGGGTTTAGGGTTTAGGGTTCAGGGGTTCAGGGTTTAGGGTTTCGGGGTTTAGGGGTTTAGAGTTCAGGGTTCCGGGGTTTAGGATTTGGCGGCGTTTAGGGAGTCGGGCTTTGGTCCTGGCAGCTGAAACCTTACTGTTTGGGTCCGGGGGTGTTCGGTCGCAGGTATCGGAAGAAGCGTGCCTGGGTCTTCGTAAGTGAGGGATTTCGGAGGGCAATTCTCAGATTAGGGTTAACCTGAAACCTCTTTGAAGCCCTCCCTAAACCCTAAACCCTTAACCTTTTTGAAGCCCTCAAAGAACCAACGAGGCCTGCTCCCAGACTAGATCCAGCAGCATGCGCCGAGCAAGGACAACCTGCAGAAGAAGTTCGGGCTATTCAAGAATGCACGGAAGAATGTAGCAAGGGTCCTAAGTGCTCAACTGCTACTGCACCAAGCAAGAATCCTTTGGGAGCAAAGTATGAGACAGTTGAGCTGTGGGGAACCAGCAGAAACTTTACAGGAGGTCTGGTAGTGCCGTGCACTTTTGCGACTCGCTTGTGTAGAATCTCGCGTGCGTGGACGCTGCTTGAACTGTGTGCTCGCGGGGTGCTTGTTTCCATGGGTACTTCAGAAAACCGAGGACCACAATGTACACTATAACCCTAAACTTGGCCCTAAACCCTAAACCGTCGAAGCCCCAGAACCTTGCAGTACCGTTACCGAATCTTCAACAGAACCCTTGACAAGTTAATCCCTAAATCCGCACGTTATGTCACATCCCTTACCCTAATCCGGGCCTTGTGCAGCTGCCCCGAGGAGAAAGCGTCGAGGGCTTCCCTCACGCGGGCCTGGCGCTGGGTTTTGGTGAGGCTTGGTTCCCGAAAGGCTTTATGCAAGTGTCCAAGTAACCACATAACATGGCTTTCACGCAAGGATTCTGCAGTATAGGGTTCACGGTTGTGGGTTCGAGTACCCCGGTAGCGAAAGTGCTAGGTACCAAAAATGCAGAGTATAGTACTTGGGACCTAAATCTTTCTGAAATCCTACTGTTTGGGTTCTGACCCTGGTATATATCTACAGGGCAACTTCCGTGGGAGATCATTACCAACTACTCAGTCCCCTCTGTGAAGAACGGAGCAATGCCCACTGTTCCTGAAAGGGAGGGCTCGACGAGAGAAAAGCCATACTTAATTTGTCCACCACAGTTCCTTTGCCAAATTTCGACGACTGCTTAACGACAATGGTCCCACGCGTCCCACCAGAAGGGCTTTGCGTGCCAGGCAGCTTGTCTCTTGGGCCCATTACCCTTTTCTCTATTAACTATCACTTGGGCCTTGGACCCCCTTGAACCTGGATCCAGCTCCAGAGATAAACTTCGGATGGAAGGTTGTTCATCGTAAAGAGTCCTACAGGTCTGTGAAGAGTTTTAATATTGCACAAAAGCCTATTGTTTGAAAGGTCGAACCTCTAACGATATGAAACAGCAATGCTTTTGCAAAACCCCAACCACGAACAGTACGCAACACGAACAATTGACACCACTCTTGACGCCTTACGAGCTGTCCATAAAGCACCCCTGCTCAGAAACTGAAGGAACCCTAAGGGTCCATAGCCAAATAGATATACTTTGGCCTTAAGTAGTCCCCATATAAGTACTTTGGGGCCAATGTATATACTATTTGGGTACATGGACCCTTAGGGGAACAGCCTGAGCTCTGAACCCTAACGGCCTCGAACTCATCTCGTGACACCGTGTCTCTCCTCTGCGCAGCGACCTGGGTGCAGTGCGGCATCGAAAGGCCCTAACACAGAGGCCCTCAGAATCGGAACAGGGTTTTGGGATGGCTTGGGGTGACTATCGTATACTATGCCAATCCTGTGACCCCAAACCCTACAAAATAGTAGGTTACGACCCCTTAATTAGAGGGTAGAACCCACAAAACGGTAGGTTTTGGGATCCCCAGGATCTTTCAAGATGTAGGAGTCCCTGTCAACAGATACATGGGCCGCCCCAGGTACGCCCTCAAAGGCCGAGAAGGCCTAAGAACGGCACTCAACAGGCCCTCTTTCCTTTCAGTGTCAACAGTCAACAATAAAAAGGCCGTCTTGCGTCTATTTTAGTAAGATTGGGACTTTAACTCACGGTATACAACTTCTGATGATTCAGACCCTGTATTACGAAGCCGGTTCGCGCCTGCTTGCCCCTCGACGCGAAGCTAAGAACATAAACTGGCCCTTACCCATAGGCCCCTAAGTACTTCCTTTTAATTTTGTGGTGTATATTTAGAATCCGATAAGGTAATCCTAAAAGGAACTACTTAGGGGCCTATGGGTAACGCTCATTCGACAAGAAGTCACTCCTAATAAAGTCTTCAAGCTTCGAGTCTAGAAAGCAGCACCGCCTATCCGCAACATACTGTAGAGGTCTGATTCAGTGGTAGTTTTTGGGCTCAAAGGTTCTATGACCTGTGTACTGTTGTGGGAGCTGCTTCCCTAAATCATACCAGCAATTCCCAATATAGAAGCACTACATTCTGCTATATGGGTAATTCCCTAAATTAGGGTCCCTTTTAGGATCGCCAAACCCTTTATAAAAAGGGCCCTAAAAGGGACCCTAATTTAGAGAGCTGCCCATATTAGTACATAGGACCCGGTGGGATTGTATGGTTCTGTGGATCGGTAACTGGAGCCCTGCCGAGTGAGAATCCCTGAGAATCTCCACGGCTCATGAACATTAGCACCGGAGGAGGTCCATGGGTAGTTACATATATATATATATATATTATATATATATTATATATATATATATATGTATCTGGGATATAAGTAATGTAACTATAGATATCACGCGTGAATATTAGGGGACTTATAGACCTACTTATAGCTACCAATGAACCTCCAAAGAGTCGACCTATTCAGTCAGGCCGTGTCTTTCACTCTTAGCCAGGGAGCCCAATATCCCTACCGGGACCCCAAATCACCCCGTAAGGGTCCATGTACCCAAATAGTATATACTTTAGCCCCAAAGTACCTATATAGGGACTACTTTAAGGCCAAAGTATATACTATTTGGGTACCTGGACCCTTAGAGAGCTAGACTCTAGCTAGACCCTGAACCCTAAACCAGGACATCAGAACAAGGAACTCCAGGAAGTGTAGCTTCTTTCGGGTCCAAATAGACTTCGAGCTTACACTGACATCCCATCCCTACTAGGCTCAAAAAAGGACAACCAGCCTGATACACAAGGGTCCTTCGGCCCAAAAAGCCCTGAAATAGGAGCCCTCAGAACCTGAACGACAACTCGAAACCCTAC